CTCATGCAGCCCTGTGTTAGTGAAATACTGTGAATTCTGTAGTCAACATGCGTCATTAAGTACTTTTAGCACCAAGGCATTTTAATGTTGAAAAATATAAACTAGCTAAGGAGGATTTTCATCACATTTGATCTTCTTTAGGGCAGAATGAAAAAATGAAGTGCTTAAAATTAAACCTCTTCAAACATAAACAGATTTGATTCTGATACAAAAGGAAGTTCTTGGGCAGACACATCTAGCAGCATTTCAGAAGATGAGAGAAGAAAGAAAAGATAAAGTATACACAGTAATTAATTTTCCCTGCCAGATATACTCCCTTACTATGGAAGAGGAAATACACAAAGGATCCATATAGAATTCTGCAACATGGAGTCATCAACCCTGCTATCTTGGCAAAATTATGGGGTTATAGTGTTTTGGTATCTATCTGCTACTTAGAATACTTGCTATGCACCTACCCACCAATAGTTACACTCATCTTCTGTGTCATCAATGATGTCTCATAATCACACCATGAAATCAGCCACCAGCCTAGGTCTTGGGCTTACCCACAGCTCCTGAACACTCTAGAGATTTTCTACAAATGCTTCAGGTCTATGCAAATGGTGAAGCATCTCCTTAGTGCACAGAGTTTCTACAGAAAGGAAAGAAGGAAGGAAGAAAGGGAAGGAGGGAAAGAGAGAAATAAGGAAGTAGAAAGAAAGAAAGAGAAACAAAGAAGAGAAAGAGAAAGTAAAGAGAAAGAGAGACAACGAGAAAGAAAGAAAGAGACAGACAGCGAAAGAAAGGCAGGCAGGCAGGCAGACAAGAAAGCAGGAAGGCAAAAAGGCAGGAAAGAAGGAAAGAAACTTTCTGGCTCCAAGTCTACCAAAAAATACTAGTTGGAAGTGTGGACTCAAGGACCTTCCCACAGATGTGAGAGAGGCCATTCGTTGAACTGCAGATGCTTAGCTCCAGGAGAGCTAGGAGTGCCTTGCTTGAAAATATGCAGATGTCATGATGTTTAGCCCTAGGAAAGCTTTTGCTACAGAGAATGCTGGCCTTCTATTTCCCCTAAATCGTCTGATTTGCTTGTCTCTGGTCATCCCTGGAAAATTTGAGGCATAACCCCAATATGGAAAATTTAAGCTGACCCCTGAGCTACTGCCTTATATGGTCTGTTTCTGTTGGACTGGATCTCCACCCCAAATATGGTGGCGGTGGGGTTGTCTTTAAAAGCTCTGTTCAGGCTCAATTCTGGGCTTCAAGTCTTTGAGACAGGAGTTCACCTGCAGTCAAGGGCTCACCAATAAAGACTCCCAATTCAACCTCTAAAAAAAAAAAGAAAGAAAGAAAGAAAGAAAGGACCTTCTTAGTGGTTGGGGAAAATGAAGGTTAACCAAAAAAAAAAGAAAGAAAGAAAAAAAGGACCTTCTTAGTGGTTGGGGAAAATGAAGGTTAACCATAACCTGCCAGAGCAGCTCCAAGCAAGCCCTTTGTTGAGGGCTGGCCCTACTGAGTACATGGGCAGTTTGGTGTATATACTAAAAGAAAACATCAGAGGCAGTACTAAATGTACCTGTTTTGGAATCTTAAACCTCATAGTCACCAAACCATTTATTAGAAATGGTAATATTCTGAAAGAAAAAAAAGAATTGAGAAATCCTCTGAGCTCAGATTCAACTCTGCTGGCTATTGAGCTCACAAATTGATATGTTGAATCAAAACCTCTTTGTACAACTATTTAAATTTTAAAAAATTTAAGAAAAGAAACTGCTGAGATTTAATGTTTACATTGTAATTGGATGTGTTCTAGGTCAAATATAAATTATAAATCCTTGAGCTATCATATGACAGTGTTCTTATTACACTTAGCTAAAGAAAATTTACTTCTAAAATCTAGTAAAATATTAAATGTAATGGCTCCTACATGAGTTTCCTAGAGTATTTTTCCTATTTGCACAAAGGAATGAATAAGAATGTCTCTATTCTTCAGCAATCATAGTACATGTAAAAGTGAAATGCATGGACTATTTTATAGTCGTATCTGGCCTTTGTTAACTGAAAACTTATCTGCATGATATAATGTAAGAAGTGAACAATGAATCAGAGAAATCCATATCTATACCCTGCCTTTGCCTATCTGTACAACCCTAAATAAGTGACTTTACCCTCTCTTTGCTTCAAGTTAATGTTTAGTTTTTAAAAACGGGGTGGGGGACTATAAATGTATCGCAGTAGTGGAACACACACTTAGTGTGTGCAAGGCCCTGAGTTCAATCCCAGCACCACCAAAGAAAGTCTTTGCAAGTTATTTAGAGGATGAAAATGCATAATTATAGTTAGTGTCTAACAAAATACTCTGCAGTCAACACTCCACAAATACTAATTTGTTTACTTGCTGCTCTTCTTTCCTGGCTATCCCTAACACTGTGATTCTAAATGACTTTTTACTGTACTCAAGAATTAACCCCACCTATAGGGACAAGGATTTCATCCTAATCAAGATATAACTAAAAGAACTGTCTACTCTATACCCTTGGGAGTTTCTCAATTAATGGGCTGAACTCAAGGGTATGATATTGCATAATAAAACCAAATAATACATTCATTTACAGACATGATGAAGAAACAAGATCTACTTTTTGCCAATACCAAGTTCATTTGTAGCCTATGCATGTAGAGAGGGCAATTCAACTTCTAATATGATCCATGACTATAAAGTAACATGACCAAGTTGTTCACAAACACAGAAAGCTATATATGTACAATTTAAAAAATGGTATCATCTACAAAATAGTCACTTAGTTGGCTACCTAATATTCCAATGATGCTACCAGAGCCTAAAGCATTTTGGGAACAATTCTTAACTGGTACAAATTCTACTTCATTCCGTCATGATTGTTACTACTTAAAATTCTATATTTACCAATAACACATTCATGATACCCCTGCTATTTATAAGTGTCAAGAAGTACAATAGTAACTTTGTGGCACGCATTTGAAGCCAACTCTTTTTAGTTGTGTCTTAATCACCCCAAAAGATTTCATGGGTCAGCAGATAGTAAAATGGTACCTAGCAGATAACTGGTGTCCTGTCCGTGATTGCTGAACTGAATGACCATTCAAGGGAGGGAAAGGAGTTCAGAGCTAAGAACCCCTCGTGGGTCAAGAATCTTAATACCAAACACAATGCCACCCCACCCAGAGTCTCCTAATGCAGAATCTCGATGAGTAGAGAAAAAGAAAGAAAAGATCTTCCTCCCCATCGTGCATATCTTCAAAAGTTCTAAAGCCAAAGGAATCTTTCCCTTGTAAAGGATCAAGATCTCCCACTCAGGGTACAGAAGAATCTTGAATAGACTCTAGGTTGATCTGCAACATTTTCTGAAAACTTCATTGACCAAAGCTTGACGAGTATCACTATAATTACAACTGTAGCCAGTCAATACTTCTCACCTCCATGACAGCCAAGCACAGGAGCCAAAAGAAGTTCCCTCTTATCTGTGATAGTAGCTCCACCCCTTATGGACATTATTTAATCTAACAGTAATAATCTCCTTCATGAACTGCAGATAACTGAGAGAATCATTTGGCCAATGTCATTCCTAGAGAGAGAGGAAATCAACCCTCTCCCCAGGAATATTCATAAAATTCTACCTGTACAGTGAAGCAAGAATGGAGTCCCAAAAGCCCAAAGCATTTGTCAGGCTGTCAATTACTCTGTTCTGTGGAAGAGTATAAACCAGATGATGAAATCATTCCCAGGGTTAGTCCCTCAGAAGCATAGGCTCCATGGCAGAAACAGCCCATAATTCCATTGGTAAGGGGCCCTCTCAGTCCCTGACAGCCAGATCCCTGAGTTACTGTCTGTCAATACATTAGAGCTTAAGAACCATGTAGAAAGAAAGCATCCTAGGTATTGCCTATGTCAAAGTGATTTCTTGGGAGGGTCTTAAAAGAAAGCTGGATAAGGAATCCAAAATGCAATTGGGAATGGAAAAAAATCTTCTCAGAATTACTACAGGGAGGATAGACGTGGTGGGACAGAAGAGCACAGTGGGATAGAATGATTTATCTTAATGTTCAATTATCCCTAACTGCCAGATCCTATTCTGGGTCCAAGCTCACAGATCTCCCCGCTCCTGTATTTAAAGTGATTATCATAGCCCAGGTACAGCTTTCCTAATTCATTCATTCACTGAAGCAACCCTAGGGGGAAAAAAGAAAAGAAAAGAATACAGATTTGCTAGCACTTTAAAGATACAACTAAAATGCTCCAGTGAGACTCATTCTCACACCTGGAATTACTTTCTCAAATATTTTGAATATCAAAATTATAAATCTTAAGTACATTTAGTGGGCCTGTAGGAACTAAAAGAGTTTCGACAGCAATTTCTTTGGATGAGAAATCTGTTTCTTTTCTTATTATTCATCTCAAAGTACAGTTGCTAGCCGTATTGTTTAACACACTAGTCTTAAAGCCTCTTATGAAAGAATAGTGCAGTTTATGTTCAAGCTATGAGATATATGATTGCGCAAACTCTTTGACAAACCTTACGACAGGGCAGACAGAAAAAAGAGAATGTGTCTTATGAAATGATGTTGCTGTTCCTTTCATGATAGCATTTGAAAAGTTCTACCTTATTGATAACTCTGCTATGGCTTAAAATGCTATTAACAGTGCTTTAGGGAGCACTGAGCTTCCACTTTTCCAAAACCTATCTATCTGCTTAATTTTCTGAAAGCAAAAGTGACATACATGCTGCATTTATTTTTCCAATCAAATTGCATAGTTGAGGCAAATTCATTTGTGCTTTGTAGCAGAACTCAAGGGAGGCGCTCGTATCTAAACACTTTGATTGGCAAATGCAAAGTCATGGTCAAGCTCACCTTTGATTGGTGTGTAGGCTAATGAGATGCACGAGTATTGCCACACCCAAAGACCTCAGCCTTCTACCCCACTGGAGCATGTGCATTAAATAAACACAGCAAAACATGGTAACAAACCTATCTAGACTCTTCCTTGGAGAGAAGAGGGGAAAGGCTCTCAGTCTTGTTGAGGTATCCAGCCCTCAATCAATAGTGGCTGTGTATACTGAGTTTTGTTGGTTTGAGGATTATGTCTATAGAGGTTAAAAAAGAGAAATAAAAGAAGGCACAGATGTTTCTCAAGTCGCCATGTTCAACTCAACCAACAAAACAAGTCTTCTGATTTCAAGCTTCAGGAAAGATGCTACATGTCAGCAGGGCTCTCTTCCAGTCCTAGGTCTGCAGTGGAACTTATTGCTTCTGGGAAGGGACCCGGATAGGTCTGTGCTGTGTATGAAATCCCTTTCTGCAGACCAGTTTCTTCGTGGACGTCTCCCTGGGTGCTGAATGCTGGGCATGATCTAGTCCGGGCATATTTCTCAGCATTGTCAGGCTGGCCCACCAGCTCGCTCACGGTGTTCAGAGGGAATTCTCGGCACCTCTGCCTCTGAGGTTCATCTTCCTTGTACTTTATAGAGTACCAGGCCAGGAAAATAAAAATAAAGCCAACAAACTTGAGGCCAGCCGCCAAACCAAAGTAGACAAAACGAAATGATGTCACATTGTACTCCCAACAAGAGCCCTGCACGCCACATTCTTGTTGCCACAGCATACAGGTAGTGTCAATAACCGCCCCAAAGTAAATCGGAGTAGGAATGTATGCTACATGGAGAGAAAGAAAAATAGAACAGTTTAGCACATCTTGGAAGAGAAATAAGATACTTTTTGTTTCATTTTGGTTTTATGTTTTTGTTGGGCTGGTTACATACCCTTACTTAGACTTAAACTCACTTAAGAATAGTGCTCTACCACTTAGCCCCAAACCTCCACTTCCAGATATTTGGTGATTCATTTGAGATAAAAGTCTCACAGAGTCAGGGACTGGTGGCTCATGCCTGTGATCTTAGCTACTCAGGTAGCTGAGATCTGAGGATGAAGGTTCAAAGCTGGGCCCAGCAGGAAAGTCCGTGAGGCTCAACTCCAATTAACCACCAGAATAATGGAAGTGATAGAGCGCTAGCCTTAAGAAAAAAGAGCTCAGGGACAGTATTCAGGCCCTGAGTTCAAGCCCTGTGACTGATCACACAAAAAAAGTCTCATAAGACTTTCCTGACTTGCCTGGATTCAAACTGCCATCCTCAGATCTCTACCTCCTGAGTAGCTAGGATTATAGGCATGAGCCACTGGGGGAGAAATCAGACTTGGTGTTCAAAAACCAGTTGCGAGGAGTGATTTTCTTGTGTTGATAGTTTTTTTCAAAGATATCATCATAATTTGTTCCTTATAAAAAGTATTCCCTAAAGAGTAAATATTTTCCACTCTGAATGTGTTACTGATGTTTTTTGGAACATAAAACAACTATTGCTTTATGCATATGTCAAACCATCACACTGTCCTGGTTACAAGTTTGTCAATGATATCTCTATAAAGCTGGAGAAAGTATCTACTGCCAAAACAATGCAATTAGAGAATCCTTTTAAAATTAGATTTTTTTAATTAAAAACTTAAGAAGCTACACTAGAGCTCTTTTTCCCTCACTAACAATCAATGCATTTAATTCTTGTGGTTAAGTCCTAGTGTTTGAATGAAGGAAGAGGAGGAGGAAGCATTGTCACTCATAAGTCAGACACCACATCAAATGATAACCTCACAAAGGCACTTGGTAGATGGAAATAATCATGACATAAAATACACCTTTGAAGCTTATGAGACATCTGGATGAGCAGAAGCTTTGTAGTTTGAACTATGATGTAGACATTTAATGCCACCCCCAGCCCTACCCCCGCCCCAAAGTCACCTAGTAGAATTCCTTCATCCTTTGCCAAAATGTGCCTCACCCCTAGCTCATTCACCTGAACAATAACCATCTCGCCTTTAGGTTCTGGCTTCAGTGGAAAACACTCTACTGCTTTACTAACTACCTCACAGTATTTACTTAAACCATTAACCATTTGTCAGCCTATAAAGTCCTTCATGGCAGAAGTCAAGTCTCCTTTGGTTTGTTTCTCGAGAGCCTATCAGAGCCAAGCACCAGTAGCTGTCACCTATAAACCCAGCTATAAGAACCACATTTTGAAGCTAGCCGAGTCAGAAAAGTCCATGAGACTCTCACCTCCAATTAACCACCAAAAAGCCAAAAGTGGAGCTATGACTTAAGTGGTAGAGCAATGGCCTTGAGTAAAATTCACTCAGAGAGTTCAAGCCCCAGGACCAGTAAACAAACACATGCACACACACACACACACACACACACACACACACACATGCGCGCACGCACGCACACACACATACACTTTTTGGGACAGCCAGGGATCCTCAGTAAAAGTACATAAGAAAGAAGAGTGCTAGGAATGGGGTAGAAAGGGAAGAGGATAATAATAATTATAATAATAGAAGAAAGAGGGAAGAAGAAAGGATAGAGAAGGCTGTGAGTAATACACTTTTGTGTGCCAGAACTGGGGCTTGAACTCAAGTCCTGGAAGCTGACCCTTAGCTTCTTTGCTTATGGCTGGCACTCTTTCAATTGAGCCACAGCTCTACTTCTGGCTTTTTGGTGGCTAATTGGAGATAAGTGTATCATGATCTTTCTTTCCTAGGCTGGCTTCAAACTGCAATCTTCAGATCTTTACCTTCTGAGTAGCTAGGATTATAGGCATAGCCACCAGCACCAAGTAAGTACATGTTTAAATAATACATATTAGGCTGAAATGAGGTCTATCACTACAATTAAATCTTACTGCTACTAAAGTACTATATACTTATTTGCTTTGAAATTTTGGGAAAATGGAAATTAGTTTGTGAGCCTGAATATACTTTTTTTTCACAGAAATTAAGGTAAAATTGAACTGGAAAATAAATGCCTCCTATATCCTCTCTCTACTTGTGTGTAGTGCTGCAGCTCACACCTGTAACACTAGCTACTTGTAAGGTTGAAATCTGAAGGATTATGCTTTGAAGCCAGCCAGGGCAGGAAAGTGTCTGAGATGTTTATCTCCAATTAAGCACCAAAAAGCCAGAAGTGGAGCTGTGGCACAGAGCACACAAGTTTTGAGTAAAAAAGCCAAGCAAGAGTGCAAAGTTCCAAGTTCAAATGCCCGTGCCACCACATACACACACAAAAAGAATAATGAAAACACTTTCTGGTTTTCAAAAAGACCATAACTCTGTGTGTGTATATGTATGTGTGTGTTTGTGTGTGTGTGTTTGTGTGTGTGTGTGAATTTTCTTTAAGTAGCATGTTTTTAAAAGCCATACTTACAAGATCTTATTGGAAAAATATCATTCTTGGACTGGCCTATCTACCCTACTATATGACAAACTGATACTTTCCGAGGGAATTAACTGTACAACAATAGGATAAAGTCATTTTAAAAAGACTTCACACTTCAAAACTGAATTCTAATTAAAAAACTAACTTGCTATTTTGTCCTGTGGACAATAGTACTGATTACTGAGGGGGAAAAACACCAGCTGAAGAAAAATGTCATACTGCTACTTAAGAGAGGAAAAATAAACCTGATGACAAGGAAGGCAATTAAGAATACAACACAAATGATCAAGCAACAGGTGACATGGAAGTCTGTTTTGTGTTCATTGTCCCACATCTTCCTGGAAGGACATGGCACATGTGAAATGATTCTTCAAGCATTCTATTCACATGGCACCAATGAGCTTTCTGGGTGATGCGGAAAGCCTGTAGAGTGATCTTACATGTGGCTTTGAGGATCTTTTTGTTTTCTTCTTAGAATTCTTTTGTTCCTCAGAAAACTCAATAGGTATATGCTTTCCACAGTCCAATAAAATTACTATAAAGAAGTAAGAAATTGAACATTTCACAAGTAAAATGTGTACCAATATCTCATGCTTTCATGTTAGAAAACTCTAAAGGGACCAAAAAAACCAGAGTAATAAACCAATTACAAAGCCTGGTGCCAATGGCTCATGCCTGTAATCCTAACTACTCAAAAGGATGAGATCTGAAGATTGCAGCTCAAAGCAAACCTTGGCAGGAAAGTCCGGGAGACTCCTCTCCAATTACCACCAGAAGTGGTACAGTGGCTCAAACTGATAGAGCACTATCCTTGAACAAAAAAGCTTAGAGACAAGTGCTCAGGCCCTCACTTCAAGCCCCACAACGACCTCCACCACCACCACCAACAACAACAACAAATTACAAATCTGTTGACTTAATATTTATTCCTATATAAACTTATCTGGAGAATTTTGCCCAAGTTTCTGTTCATAGTAAAAAAAACTACCCTACAGTTGGCTTTGTTTGATCAGTGTGAACTTGTGATCTCTCCATTGAAATCTGAAAATTAGGAAGCATGCCTTTACCACAAACCTGTAAAATCCTAGCCACAAATGCTAACAAATGATTTAACTCTCCACTTGTAAAGGGCAATGAAGGTCTCCCCACTGCAAAGAGGAACTTAAAGGCACTCTTGGAAATTCTGGGACATACCAAGTGTTCGTAACAAAACAAACTGCATTCCCAGTGCAAAAGGTCTCTCTTCATCTTCCACGGACCTACAGTGAAGAACAAGAAGAAAAGCATTTAAAGAGGGACCCTTGGAAAATGGCCACCAATCAAGCCTGCTTTGTGCAAAGCCAAGAATGAATAAAATGCTGTGTCAAAATATTTAATTATTTAGAATTTATTAACAAGAGTGAGGCCAAATTTTTGGTAGTAGATCATGGACCAGAAATCTTCCCAGTGAAGACACAAATCAAAACTCTTCTTTCTATGTGTGTGCTGGTATATGGCAAAGGCTCTTGGCTAAAGAGATAAACACAGCTCTAATGAGATTCAAAATCAGTTCTATTTTTAAAAATCATAAAGCATTATCCTAATACTGTGTTCTCTGGGCTTGTTGGCTTTTTCCAGAATGATGGATATATCTAATCACTTCCATAATTTCTCCAAGGTAGGACAAAAAAAGAAAAAAATACTCGCTCTACTCAATCTAAAAATATATAAAAGAATCAGAATTTGAGAAAGAATGAGCTCCTCCATCCACACTTTGTGTGTGTGTGTGTGTTGTGTGTGTGTGTGTGTGTGTGTGTGTGTGTGTGTGTGTGGTGTGTTCTTAAAATTTATGCTACAAGCTGGGCACTCATATCTGTAATCCTAGCTACTCAAGCAACAAAGATATGAGGATTACAGTTTGAATCAAAGCCATCCTGGGCAGAAAGTACACGATTCTTATCTCCAATTAACCACCAAAAAAGCCAGAAGTGGCTTTCACAGAGAAGATCTACCTCAGCATCTAACAGAAAAAAAGCCAGAATACTCCTGGTACAGCCCAGTTACCCTCCCTAAACTTGGCAATCTCAGCAGGTGCCCCTGTGGGGTTCTGCAAAGCCATAAGGAAGAACACAGACTTCCTCCTTCATGTTCTTATTGTCCTGCACGCCTGGCTTCTTCACAGCTAACATGTGTATGATCTACTAACGCTGCAGCTTTTATTGCAAATACCAGTGCAAGGATTTCAATGTGCCATCAACATTTTTTTAATTTTTATTTATTTTTTATTGTGAAAATACTGTACAGAGGGGTTACAATTACATGGGCAAGATAATGAGTACATTTCTTATCAAGCATTGTAGCCTCCTCCTTTGTTTCCCCTTCCCATCCCTTCCCTTCCTCCCCCCCCCCCCCCCACCCAATCCCCCCCCCCCCCCCCCCACCAAAGTTGTAAAGTTTGGGCCTATGGCTGAAGTGGTAGAACAGTAGCCTTAAGCTGAAGAGCTGAGGGACAGTGCCCAGGCCCAGAGTTCGGGTCCCAGGACCAACAACAACAAAAGAGTGAATTGCCATCAACATTTTTAACAGAACAAAAATAGTTTCCACATCCTTTTATTAAAAAAAAGGGGGAACAAAACCCCTAACAGGAAACCTAACATGGCAAAGTAAGTACAGTCTGATCAACTGAAAAATCACATTTCCTTGATTCAACTCCAGAACTTTATAGCACAGTAAAATGAATGGGTTCAGCATTTTTGAAACACAGGCCTAGCATAAATGATCACCGGTGCTGGAGTCAGGGTATTCATCATCCACAAGGCAGGAGATAATAGCTTTTGTGGTCTGCATGATTTAGATACTTTACCAAAATACTTCCTGCCTTTTCAGAGGCCCAGCCTCCTAGAGCTAAGCCAAGGTTGGCTTTCAGCTTCTGAAAACGAACCTTGTAGTGCAGAGACTTCAGAGGTGCCCAACAGAAACCTAGCTAAACTAAAACTCAATTTAAGAACGGACAGTCCTAGAACATGAAGTGTTACAAAGATCCTTTTCCTTGCTGACACGGAAAGTCACTTCTCAAGTGACATCTGATGACTCTACACAATCAAATCTTGCTGTCCCTGCTTTGTCTCTCTCCCCTGCTCCTGTGACAAGCATTCTGGCAAGACTTGTTGTGTGGCTCACCCCAGCTGCCATTGTGAATGCTGCTCTCACCTGAGAGTCACTATGATGGCCGACGGCTGGGCGCATGCTGTGATAAAGGTGACGATGAAAAGAAAAACCAAGAATGGGATGAGGGTGTTGCAGGTGCGCTTGCACTTCCCTGACACGGCGTAGCCGTTCTCGTTGAGATACGTTTTGACGATGACCACGTGCAGCTGACTGTGCTGGCCCACTGTGGGAGGGGTGATCACCTGCCGACTCTGGACGCAGGTGCATTCTGTGTAATTCCGAATCTGAGGGAGCAAAATCAAGATAGGTTGTTTGTCAGTCAGAAGCAAGCTGTGCAATAGGGAGCTTAAGACAAATGAAAGGAAGTGGAGCTGTGGCTCAAGTGGAGTAGCGCCAGCCTTGAATGAAAAAGTCAAGAGAGAGTTGAGGCCATGAGTTAAACTCCAAAACTGGAGTATTTTTTTTTAAATAAACAGGTGCTGGTGAGTTATGCCTATAATCCTAGTTACTTGTGAGGGCTGAGATCTGAGGATTGTAGTTCAAAGCCAGCCAGAGCTGGAAAGTCCATGAACACTGAAAAGCCACAAGTGGACTTATAGAGCAAAGGTAGAGTTGCCATCCTTGAGTGAAAAGGCTAAGAGTCAATGCCAAGGCAGTGAGTTCAAGCCCCAGTACCAGCACACCCTAAATAAATAACTAAATAAGCAAAATCTGACACAAAAATGGCTTCTTTGTTGACCATAACAAAGAGTTAAAATGCATGGCTAAAAATACCAAAATCTTCTGGTTACAAAGGTTTGAACTTCTTGTAAGAAACTTTCAACACTTAATTTTCGGACATGTGCTCATTTGGACCCTCTAATTAATTAGAGAAGCCCCTTAAAACCAAGAGCACAACTAGCACAACTCTGAACATACACACAGTAGGCCCTAACGTGGGTCTTATTAAATAGATTCATAAGCAAGCATGATGGCTTTAGTATCAACAACAATGAATTTCTCATTGGCTGCTCCAATGTAAACTACTTAGCTTGTGACCATGACCTCCTGTGAATGAATAACCCACTGGATGATGTCACTTCAATCTGATGATTGTGCTCCCTGCCCAGGGCTGCTCTGGACTCAGAACCCAGCTGTCAGGATATAATGCTGAGCAACAAAGAAAAACAAAATCACTTGTCTATTTTCCTTCCAACAAATATCTTCTGAGCCTCTACTGCTACACCAAGTTCCATTCAATGGGACTGAAGGCAGAGAAGAACAAAAGAAACCAAATCTCTGGTAAATACCAACATTTCCACTGGAAGCAAACAAAAAAGTGAAAATGAAACTTTATTAGGGATTACTGATAGATCAAAATAAACCAGCAAATGTTAAATCAACCCACTGGTTTTCTGCTGAATGGGAATCAGCTGAATTCATTCTCTTACTTCCAGCAGCAGTAAAAATTGTGGATGTAAAACTGGGTGTTGTTGACCAGCATTTTGCTGGTCTTTTAAAAAGAAAGAGCAACTTTGTCCCAAAGGATCTTCTCACTTCCAAGAAAGAATCTGGCCTCTTTCAACATGGTCACATACTGGAGCTCACCAATTATTTAATAAGGTATCAGCAACAGGAATTCTTCATTTATCACTCTAACTTAAAACCCAGACATCAAGACTGGCAACACTCAATATATTCCCTATCATCTGTATAGAAAAAAAGAAACCCAATGCATTTTAAGCTTACTTAAAATGCAACGGCACACAATGTTTTTTATGAGAAGAGTCAAACCAAGCTTAATAAAGAATGGAGTAAAAGATGAAAATTTGCTCCCACAGTATTATAGTCTATTTATAATTCACAGGAATGGGAATTTTCAAAATAGCCTATTCTTCAACTGACAGAAATATCCTTACACTGAAAGTGGGGGGAAAAAGGTTTGAACTGAAACAATCATCTATGAAAAATGCCTTTGATCTTCCCAGACTCTGGTCAGAAAAAGTGCTATCCTAGTCTTCCCATCAATACCAACTACAGTCACCTTGACCTTCAAGTGTATTCCAAGGGCCCTGTCAAAGCAACAGCTGGGAAGCCTGGAGCTCAGCCTTATCAACTTTCACTGAGCTGGCATGAAATGTAAATAAGAGACAGGCAAAATCTCTACACACTCAAAAATGCTCTAGTCAACCTAGGTAAAAGAAAAAAAAAGGTAACACGGTATAGTTTTCTTTCTGCTAAGTATTTGTCAGAGGTTGGAGTCTGTTGAAAAGAGAGACAGAGGTCATTATGTGAATAATAAACTCTGTCACTGGTTGTTGGATTAACAGCAGAAGAGGAATTTATGAAATATACTCACCCCAGTGCTAAGATTACCGCTGTTAACACAACCAGCCAGACAAGGGTTAAAGTATGTAATTCCATCGGATCCACAGACTGGCTCATACTCATGTATTTTACAACCACAATTAACATTGCAGCTTCCTGTCAGATTCCTATGGGGCATGGTCAGAGAAGGTCTAGAAGAGCAAAGAAGTAAATTGTGAGCATTGAAGTGAAACTAAGAAGAGTTTTTTATATTTAGTGATTTCTGTTTCAGATGGGATATTCCCATCGATTGGTACTATGGTATACAAGGTACCCATTCTCAATAATTGTCTTTATGACTTCACAGCAAAACAAAAAATAGTGTTTCTGTTTTTCTAGTACAACAGATTCTTCACATTTTATCCAATTATCTGTCCTGCTCCAATTTTACCCTTTACCTTGATTCTCAGGACTTGACCTCATGTCTGGGCTTAGTGATTTGAGCCCTCATTTAAGTCCATCCTCACTACAAGCACAGGACTCTATATCCTAACAAGAGAACTTTTTGGGCTCAGCAACTCCAATTTTATATAGCCCCTCACTTTTGTCTACTCATATAACTGTAAGACTTAGCTCCATATACTAGCAAATTTGAGCCTCAACTTTGGTTTGGTTTTATTTTATTTGAGGGTGCTAAGAACTGAACAAGTATCTTTTGCATACTATTAGCAACCTATAGTCCAAATCCTAACTTATTTTTTTTAATGGTTCGTGTGTTTGTGTAGGGTGGGGATGGGGTGTGTGTATATTTGCTGTTTCTGGAGCTTAAACTCAGATGCAGAATGCTGTTCCTTAGCTTTTTTTGCTCAAGGTTGGCACTCTACCACTTGAGTCGTAACTCCACTTCTAGCTTTTTGGTGGTTAATTGGGGATAAGAGTCTCACATACTTTTCTGCTCAGATTGACTTCATACCACAATTTTCAGAACTCAGCCTCCTGTAGTGAGCCTCCTATAGTCACAGCACATGACTATAATCCAAGTTGCATCAAGGGGCAGTGGTAGGAACATGAGAGTCCATGTCCAGCCAGGACAAAAGGGTGAGACCCTATCTGAAAAGTTATCTAAAGAAGAAAGGACTGGGGATGTGGCTCAAGTGGTTTACTGCTTGCCTACCAAGTGTAAGGCTCTACGTTCAGGCACAAAAAAGGAGCAATGTCTTGTTAAGTGCCAAGACTTATCTTTAATGACTATGTCAGTACCAGTTATACAGCAATAAAGCCCACACCAACCATATCTGTTCATTTATAAACATAACTGGGGCTTTTCTCCTGTGGCCTCTTTGCACATTCATAATTGAGTCCTCACATTTCAATGGGAGAACCAAATGCAAAGTAGTATTAAAGTACTATCAAGAAAACCTTCTAGACTGAGATATGGCAAAACACATTTGTAACCCAAGCCTTCCGGAGTCAGAGACAAGAAGATTGCAATGTCAGAAGACAGTTGGGTTCGTAGTGGGCAGGAGTGGGATACTGCCTACTTTCCACAATTAAGATTTACGTGGCCTCAGTCTAAACAATTTTATCCCACAAATTGGTTTTCTGTCTATATTACTTTAATTATCCAATATTCTCTGCATTTATTAGAATTTTGCTGTCTATACATAAGCAAATAAGATAGCTAATTAAATTGTTAGTAATGGAAAAAATTAAAAAGTAAATAAAAAGATTTATTTGAAAACAGGGGTTATATCATGGGGGAGGAACATACAAAGCCACAAAAAAAATCACATGGTACCTTATAATATGTTAGAAACAATAGCAAGAAAGAAAAAACCACTTGCGTCCCTATTTTGGGGTTCATTTCACTTAACTTCATCTTATCTGGTCATAAGTATATAGCTTTTGACATTTTCTACTTGTCCCAGATATATACTAGTTATTGCAAATAAGGGAAACCATGGGATTCTATGTTTCTTTGGGCCTACCTTACTTCACTTCATATGATTTTTTCCAAGACTTTGCATTTCCTAACAAATGGAGTGATGTCATTCTTTCTGAGGGAGGCATAGAATGCCATTGTGTGTGTGTGTGTGTGTGTGTGTGTGTGTGTGTATGTATACACATTTTCTTGATCCACTCATCTACTGAGGGGCATCTGAGTTGGTTCTATATCTTAGCTATGGTAAATAATGCTGCAAGAAACACAGTTGTGCTGGTAGCTTTAGTATGGCCTTGTTTGATCATTTGGGTAAATGCCCAAAAGTGGAATTGCTGGGTCACAGAAGAGCTCTATGTGGAGTCTTTTGAGAAATTTCCATACTGCTTTCCAAAGTGGTTGAACAAGTTTACATTCCCACCAACAATGCAGTAGGGTTCCTTTTTGGCCACATCCCCTCCAGCATCTGTTGTTATTAGAGTTCTTGATTATAGCCATTCTAACTGGGGTGAGGTGGAATCTCAATGTTGTTTTAATTTGCATTTCTTTTATGGCTAGAGAGGTTGAGCATTTCTTCATGTGTCTATTGGTCATTCTTATTTCCTCTTCAGGGAGGGGAAGGAAAAAACAAAATGTTTAAATAGGGATACAGGTTGACCCATTGTAACAATGAGATGTACAACACACTATGTTGAAAAATGAACTTTACAATTTAGGCGGCGGGGGGGGGGAGAGGTGAGGGGAAGTTGGGGAGTGTAGTAGTGTAGTTGAGGAGGTGGGAGTGAAGGGATGGTAGGGGAAAAACAAGGGAGGAAGCAACAATGCTTGATAAGGAATATACTCATTACCTTGCTCATGTAACTGTGACCCCTCTGTACAGTATTTTCACAACAAAAAAAAAACATTAAAAGAAAAGATTTATGTGGCCTAAGCTTGATGCCAGTGGCTCACATTTATAATCCTAACTACTTAGGAGGCTAAGATCTAAGGAACATGATTCAAAACTAGCCCCAGTAGAAAAGTATGTGAGATTCTTATCTCCAATTAACCACCAAAAAAAGACAGAAGTGGAGTGGTAGGGCACTAGCCTTGAGTGAAAACAGAAGGTCAGGAACAGTGCCCAGGTCCTGAGTCCAAGCCCCAGAACTGGCGCACACACAGACACAGACACACACACACACACACACACACACATATATGGAGGGAGGGGAAAGAAAAAGAGACAGACAGACAGACAGACAGACAGACAGACTTGTATGGCCCCAAATATCAACCATGCTGAGGAAGAGTCCTCAGATCAACTACCACATTCTCCAAATTATGAAATGATGAGCTGGACAGTCAAGGAGGGGAAGTGATTTACCATGAAGCTTATTGGTGCTACACTAACTGCTGCCATAGGAGATGTTCAGTGTGTGTCACTGTTCTTCACCAGCACTTCAAGAACTACAAAGAACAACGGAAAAGAACTAGGCTAGGTTCTAATTTCAGGCCTCACATGGAGTAGATGCAGGTCCTGGAGTCACAGCCTTCATCTATGGTTATTGTGTTTGTTCAGCTTACATGAGCCAAGAAAGGATAGCCAGCGAAGGGCAAATGATAAAACACATGCAACACCATCAGTCGACTAGAAGAACACAGTCATCACTTATTTTCACAAGTATATTTAAACAATACTTTATTTATTATTATTTATTTAATTAACCAGAAAAGACTGACATTATCACCAACTTTACATATGAGAAAACCAAAATAGAACAATATTTGATAATTTTTCTGGCTAGATAACACAGCTAGAAAACCATAATGTCAATAGTCAGTACTTATCTTTGAAAGTCATACTGGTTTAGACAAAAAGAGTTTGAAGGGAGAAGAGAGAGAACTTCAGAGGATTCATTCTTCCTAACTCCATTTTCTCACTAACATGGAACTGGTTGTCCACAAAGCAAAACAAAACTAAGGGGAGATAAAGTGGACTCAGGGAAAAGGATTGGGGAAATTTAAAAAAATAAAGCCATTACCATGGGCTTGGGGAAGAGAGCTGACTGGGCAAAATAAATGGATTGTTCAGCAAAGATGAGAGCCCGCTAAGATTGGAACTCATAAATTTGTAATGGAGCCAATCAGCACAATTACATAATTTTTCCCAATTGTGCTACTAGAATCTAGAAGTGCTTGATTGAGAAGTGGCGGGACAGAAAAATGTTAAGTAAAGGTTCTAGAAGTCTTGAGAGGACTTGAAGTTTCAAAGCAGATAAGAGTGCAAATGGTGAGTAGAAAGGCTTGGGTTTATGGGAAAAGGCTCAATGGGGCCGCTGCAGCAGACAAGGCACTCACCTAGAGGAATCTCCATACTCTCTGAACTTCAACTGAAGTGAAAGAGCAAAGGTGAGAGATAGAGGGGAAGATCATGGGCCACCTTAGGGGAAAATGAGACTCATGGGCCCTTCTGTCTTCATCTGTGTACCCCAGGTCTCAATCGGAACCCATGAGACACATAGAAAGTTAAGGTTCTGTTCTAGATGTTCACAAATACCTCTTCCTTGAATTTAGGATGAGATAAGTCTGAGATATACTAAACTGAGTATTGCCAACCTGCAAAGCCCAGAATTAAACAAATAGCAAAAATGACTCTGACAAACCAAATGGTAAAATGTAAGGAAGGCATAGAAAGCAAGCAAAAACCATATTGTGACTACATGAAGAGAGAGGTTTGAGAATACATTACTCTCTAAACAACATCAGGAGACAACTAGAAGGAAGTCAGTGAAGAAAAGAAATCAAAATAAAATCCAGCCTAGGTTACATAGCTAGTTCAAGGCCAGCCTACGTTACACACTGAGATTCTGTATTAAAATGTGTGTATGTGTGTATAAAATTTATCATACATTGTTACTAAAAATACATGTATATGATTTATAAAATAAAAGTGTGTGTAAATAGAAAACAAGGGTCAAGAAGAGATCTCACAGCAAAAGATAAGAATATATAAAATGTGAAGAATATAGACTGGGCAGAGAGGGGAGTCTCAGAGAAACTTGCACTACTACATACTGAATAACTAACCTGTGTGGCCTGTCCATCTCCGTTTTGTCATCTGTAGAAGCAGGAGAGCAAAAGCACCTACCTAACAGTGTTGTCCTGTGAATTCGTGTAAGGCACTAAGATGACTGTTGGCATGCAGCAGGGCAGCGTAAGGGCAAACTATGCTTCATATTCTCACTGTTGGTCCAGAAACATCTCTAAATTATATTGCTCAATAATAATGAAGCTCAGCAAAATAAATGTATGATTCTGTGTTGGATATAAAAGGAAGAAAATTCTCAATATGTATTGATAGTTTCTTCTAGAAAGAAACCTTGAAAGGATATGCAGTAAATATATAAACCAGGAGAGGGCAGCTGGCACCTGTAAGCCCTAGCAACGCAGGAGGCTGAGATCTAAGGATCACAGCTTGAAGCCATCCCAACTAGGAAAGTCTGTGAGACTTTTATCTCCAACTAACTACCAAAAAGCCGAAGTGGAACTGAGGCTCAAGAGATAGAGTGCTGGCCTTTAGCTAATCAAGCTAAGGGACAGCACTCAGGCCCTAAGTTCAGGCCTCAGTACATACACACAAAGAAAAAGTGATTATCTGGTTCATCTTTTGGCTGGAACAATCAGAAGTAGGTGAATGTAGAATTGGGTAAAAGCATAATTTTTCTTTTTCCTTCCTTCCTTCCTTCCTTTCCCTCCTTCCTTCCTTTCTCTTTCTTTCTTTCTTTTTTTCTTTCTTTTTGGTTGGTTGTAGAGCCTGAACTCTGGGCCTGGGTGCTGCCCCTGAGCTCTTCAGCTCAAGGTTAGCATCTACCACTTGAGCCATAGCACCACTTCCAGCTTTTTCTGCTTATGCGGTGCTGAGGAATCAAACCCAGGGCCTCATGCATGCAAGGCATGCACTCTACCACTGAGCATTGAATTTGAGGTTTCACAACCTGTGTGAACATATTAGTCATTCAAAATGTTATGTTACAAATAATATTTCTCATTATTTCAACAAATACTTCCTCCTCATCTGTAATCAAAAGCTATAGAAGTCACCATGAAGACTGAAATAGACATAGACCAAGGCAAGACCATAACCTCTGCCCTCCAGAAACATGTACTCTGCTTTCAAAGACATAGAGTAGAGCACGACATCTGAGAGAGAGCATCAGAACCCACCCAGTTATGGACCTAACACAGGGCTCTGCACTTCAATCACATAACACAGGACAGCTCAGCCAGAAGTACTTACCCTGTTGTATAAGGGATGTTTATGCCCCCTAGATTAATACTTTCACATCCAACAATAAACAGAGTTGAAAAACACAGTAAAGACACACCACTGCAGATCATTGCTAGTTTGGCAGATTCTCTTGCACCAAGTTTCAATTTCTTTATAATGTAGCCTCCCAGGACAATACCGACTCCAGCGCTAGGGACAATAATAACACCTGGAGACAAGAGAAGGAAAGGATTTGTTTAGTTATTTCTATTTTTTAATTAGTTTGTTTCTGCTGGCTTAGTACTAAAGAACAAAAAAATCACTGTCAATAAATCTTGAGTGTTTATGATCTCCTACTATAATATTATTTTCAATGCATATGATCAACTAAGGGTTCATATCTATATCTTATAAAAATGTTTACAAGGCAATAAAGACAAATAGCCCATTAGAAAAATAAGCAAAATTTGAATTGGTTCCTCACCTATAAACATAGAAAAGACATCCTCTTTATTACTAAGAGGGAAATAAGAGCCCAGTGAAATACTATACACACCAATCACACTAGTAAACATTTTAAGGCCTGATAAATCTACATGTTGGCAAAGAGTTGGAAACTCCTAACATTAGTGTGACGTGAATATTGAAATCTAATTTGAAAAACAGATGGGCATTATCTGATACACTTGAAGATATATACAGGAATTATAACAGGCATTTCCACTCCTGGATCTCTGCCACAAACATCATAAGATATTTGAAGCATCATAACAACACAAACTGGAAATAAATTTAATGTTTATTAACAGTATATATATATATATATATATATATATCACAGAGCATTATTACATAGAATATAAAGGAAGAAATTCAAGCATTAACAGCTATGTGGAGGAATCTAACAAAGACAATTTTCATGCAAGAAAAACACAACAGCCTGGCACCAGTGGCTCATGTTTATAATCCTAGCTACTCATGAGACTAAAATCTGAGGATCACAGTTTGAAGCGAGCCCAGCTCTAAAGGGGGGCTGTGGCTCAAGTGATAGAGTGTTAGTCTTCAGCAAAAGAGCATCTAGGACATCTAGGCCCAAGTTCAAACCCCAGGACTGGCACAAAGGAAAGGAAAGAAAAGAAAAGAAAGAAGAAGAGAGGAGAGGAGAGAAAAGAGAAAAGAAAAACAACAGAATACACACAACGTGATTACACTTGCATTAAGTTCAAGAACCAATACAACTAAGCCATAATGTGTAGGGATGCATATGATTGTAGAGCTGTAAAGAAAAAAAATAGTTATCAAAAAACCCAGGGTGTTGTATCAGGAAAGAGGGGGCTCCTCTGGTACTGAGTATACTCCATTCCATTATCTGGATAATAGTTATCACTATGACCGGAATGTCGGTGTCCCCTCCATATCCCGAAACTCTTATCTTAAATTCCTAACCCCCAGGCATTTTCCAAAGAAAGAAATATATTTATTACCTGACTTATGAAATGGTAACCCTTCCGTACAACATCTTAATAGTAACAATAAAGTTACTTTTTAAAAAGTCCTAACCCCCAGATGAGATAGCATTAGGAAGTGAAACTTTGGGGCAATTACTTCATGAGGATGGAGGCCGCATACATGGCATTAGTGCCCTAATAAAAGACGTGTCTGAAAGCTGAGAGCTCTCTCACCTCTGCAGTCTGTGAGAACACAGTGACAAGGTGCCGTCTGTGCGGAACGAACCAGATACTAATCACCAGTACCTTGGTCTGAACTCCCAGGCCTACAGCTGTGAGAAATAAATTTCTCCAGCTTATAAACCACACCATCTCTGGTGATCTTGCCATAGCAATCCAAATAAACTAAGTGTCTACTTTATATTTATTCCCTCTCTCTAAATATTTGTTAACGTACTTCTGGATATGTTCTAATTCACAGGAGAAAAAGAAAGAAATAACCATGATGTCAGCTCTAAGAATCAGTTTAGGAGATAACTATCACACAGTAAAATACTTATACAAAGTGCAAAGAGAATACAAGAAAAATGGCACGTGAGTCTTCCCTGGGATAAATCAGGTGTGGCCACAGGTATGATTGGCAAGATGGGTCAGTCAGGGTCCTCCTATGATGCTATCACAAGATGTTTATCCATCAATTCTATTGTTCAAGGAATCCAAGGTAAATTCGGGAGATAATGGCTGAACAAAGGAGATATGCAAAATTGAAGCAGAGATGCTAAATTTTTATCCTGCTTTTAGTCACCATTTGAACACTTGTAGGTTCAAGTGAAGAGTCAATGCTTTTAGCAAAAGCAGTTTCTAGGTACTTGTTATAATTTTTTCCCTTGTGACTAAACACTTCTTTTTTTCTTGTTTTTTTATTTTCTGAACTTCAAAAGCTTATACAAAGGGGTTACAATTTAACATGTCCATCTAAGTGTCCAGTGCTTGACCAGAGTCACCCCTTCCATCATTTATCAATGTGACTAGAGAGGCAAAGCTTTACCTTTAGAACAAAAATGGTCCTTTAATAAAGTTCCTGCTTCCACTGAACTAATATATGGAGCAGAATGCACTATGCTAAAGCCTCAGGATAACAAAATAATGATAATAATAACAACAACACTACACTCAGAACAGAGTCATAATTAAACACAGATAATTTATTTAACTTTGCATCCTAGTTAGTATTAGGCACTTGATAAAAAGATAAACTATCATCAGTAAAAGTGAGGGTATGGCTGGGCACCAGTAACTCAGGCCTGTAATCCTAGCTACTCAGGAGGCTGAGATCTGATGATCCAAGTTTAAAGCCAGCCCCGGCAGGAAAGCCCTTGAGACTTATTTCCAATTAATCACCAGAAAATGGGAAGTGGTGCTGTGGCTCAAGTGGTATAGTGCTCGCCTTGAGCCTTGAGCCTTGAGCCTTGGGCTGAGGGACAGTGCCCAGGCCTAGAATTCAAGCACCACGACCGACCCCCCCCCCCAAAAAAAAGTGAGGGTATGTCAAACATAAACAAAATGTACTGTAACCCATTAACATTGTCTCCTGGTGCCCCTAACCCCTCACCACCTAAATTTTCACACTCTCAATACAGAACAGTCTGGACACCATTCATACTAATCTGTAGGTCAGATCTTCAGTGTTTATGGAGAATTTTCGGTGTCCTATGTTATACCTACAAGATTTGGTGCTTGGGAAGACCAGGTATGACAGGAGAGCCTTGCTGTGCGCTCTCTCTGTCTGTCTCTCTCTGTGTCTCTGTCTCTCTCTCTCCCTCCCTCCCTCTCTCCCTCTTTCTTTCTCTCTCACTTTTTCTCTCTTTCTTTTGTTCACCTCTCTCCCCTCCCCCACCCAGTAAACCAACTGTAGTTTAGAGTTAGCTTCTGTAGGATTTCAGAATCAGTTTCTACACTCAATATGCTACCCTCTCCCTATTCCAGACCTTTCCCATGTGAGGGAAGCCAGGTCTAAAGTTGATCTTACATCTCTGGCTGGTTGCACTTCTTTGCTTCTCTCCATCTTAAATTCCTGAGGGCCAGCAAACACAGCCCTGGCTTCACTGAGCCTCTGCACTGACCCAGTCATTCCCCAGCCCCAAAGTGCCTATCATCGGACAAGATAGGGAACATTTCTAAGACTTAGCTCCTCTCCTCTGTAACCCAGAAATAATAATGGGTCTTCACAGGATAGTTAGAATTAAATGAGTGAAGGCATATGAAAAGCTCCAAACAGTGGCTAACCTACAGGACACACTCAGTAAACACTGGCAATCATCATTATAACAAGTATAAATATCATTCATTATCTGTCTAGTATTAATGAGTTTAACATTTACACATATTAATTGAACATGTTGAAATTATAATTAGGCAACTTTAATATGCTGTTTAATATGGAGGACTGAATTTTAATCAGTCTATTTGTGATCCAACATAAACTTCTATGTGTTCTTAAGCATAATTGTGTCACAGACATTGCATATATATATATATATATATATATATATATATAGGTGTGTGTGTATATATATATATAAAGAATCCCCCTCAGCATTCAACTCTGTTCAGAAATGGTCTGAGAACACCCTGTTACTTTCCCATTGGAAATCCTTCATCTATCTGGCTAAAGACATGGATATCTTAGTTGTCCTGCTTTCTTTCTTCTACACCAAGCATTGTAACCTCACAGCAGATTTTGAAGCTGTTAATTATGGGACACAATATACCTTGACCTTATAAAGTTAGGGCTGCATGGAATTAAAGCATCATTAGAAAAAAATTAATGACAGCTAGTTACTTTCCTAATCAGTAGGCTTCTTAATGTAATTTTCCTCTTCAAATTTTTATCTCTACATAGATACTATTTGTATTATATTAAGCACATAAAACAGACTTAAGCTGAAGGCAGTTCTGGGAGCCCAAGAAACCTTGAAATGAAGGAAAAGAGGACAAAATGAAGCTATACCTTCATTACCAAGGGTGCTGCAGGTTCTGGGGACTTCAGGTGTATGGTTGCTGTTGTTTTTCTGGTACCCAGGACTATCCTGCCTTTGCTTCTCAATTTCATCAGTTTCTTCAGTACTTCAGGGACTGTGTATTTACTACTTCCCTATCTGTCGAGTATACCAGTCCTCAGTGAACATCTTAATGACCAGATTTCATGACTTAGAATTTATTATACAAAATATGTAAGTGATCACATTCATTTCAGTTTGCAACTACTTCTCCAACAAAGCAATCTTGCACTGTCTAAAAAGAAAAATGTAGGATCTAATCTGAACTAAAAATCAGTTTAGAAGTGACAAGTATTCAACATATAGATAGATGGGGGAAAAACACTCTCACTTTTGTTAAAATTCTGCATTGAGCAATGCTAGCAAAAACTTACGCTGACCAGCCACCAAAGGTAAGACAATGAGTTCTTTCAGACCTCTGACAACTATTCTACTGGGTGGTACTCATAGTGGTACCCAACCTGCCACTCAGGGGAACAAAGTGAATAAAATAGGATCTCAGAATTTCCATCATCTTTAGGCTCTTAGATCTAGACTCACTGCCCCTATTCAGGTTTTGCACAGGTAACATTCATAATAAAATTTAAAATAAATAAGTTGCAAATATCACTATGAATAAAAAAGAAATATCACTGGGCACCGGTGGCTCACACCTATAATCCTAGCTACTCTGGAGGCTGGGATCTGAGGATCCTGGTTCAAAGCCAGCCCAGGCAGGAATG